GGGCTTGGGCTGAGGGAGTTATGTTTCTGCTTTGTTTTTTGGTGATTTTTTTCCAGCGTGGGACTTGCTCCAATGTTTATTTTTGGATTTGGGTGTTCTTGGGTTTATTTTTTTCAGTCCCAGCATGGGACTTACAGTGTTTTATTTTAAATTTTTTTTTTGGTATTTTTTTCTTCCCTTAGAACGCATTAATCGGTTTTCAATGCATTTCTATGGGAAATGGTGCCTTGATGTACGGACTTTTCGATTTGTAAAAACTGTTCCAATACGGATTAAATTCATATGTTGAGGTACCACTGTATACATGTTGCGTGGCAACAGAATTCTCTTTCATCTCTGTTCACACTGACCACTAGGTGTCCTTTCATCTTTAAATTAGTTTGTTCATTAGCAACAGCATTATTCATATGAGTTCTTTGATCTTCCCCAGAAGCTGAATAAGTGCCTTCCAACCTGAGAATCTCATATTTCATTTTGGATTGTCTCATCATAGATTTTCAGGACAATAAAAATGCAGTATTGGTTTAGTTGCCTCCTTCTGTGCAGTACTAACAAGAATCAGTTGAATGTCATTTTTATTACCCTTCAGGAGTTTCTCTGCCCACATCACCACTGTAACAACCCATTCTCTTCTGCTGATGCAACTGTTAATCCTGGAGAAGGTAGATGCATCCTCATTTAGTGCTTGGCTTTGCCCTTTCTGCCTTGGGTGATACTGCTATGAGGTTCAGACTTGTAATGGAGACTAGTCTCCTATTCTTAGCTTCCCACTGAAGCCTATGGCTAGATGACACAATAAACTAATCATGGAACAAAGCCACCTAGTTTGTTTATCTGAAGGGTGCTCAAAGTATGACCTAAGAGCCAAAAGGACCCTACCAAGGCTATTTTAGTGGCTGCAGAATGTTCCCGTCAAAACAAATCTACCACTTTCTCAAGAGTACAGATACTCATGCAGGAGTGGTCGTTTGCAATAAAACGGAGCATGGGGTGGTCCAAACACCCCACATCCCAAAGAAGAATAAAAACAAACAAAACAAAAAGCATGAAAATGGACTTTTAACAACATTTCACATTAATTGTCCATCTCTCTGTCCATTCTGAGAACCCTCAGCAGGTCCTATGTATGGAAAATTGGCTCCAAGACACTGTGACATCACCCACCTAGTTTAGCCAATATTTCTGCAAGCAGAAGCAATTAAGCCAATGTACAAGCAGGCTGCTTGTTCATAAGAAGCAACGGTTGTCACTTTTCTCAAACCCTGACTTAAGAAGTGCATTATTAGCTAACAGTAGTTACTACTTCATTCTCCTATCTCTGCAACCCAACACACTTATGAAAGGATGTTAGTTTCCAAGTGATACTCCCTGTACTGCTGTTATGCAAATGCTGGCTAGTTCACCTGCATCGAATCAATCATGTTCTTGGTGAACCGGTACGGATACAGAATGTTATGGATTTTCACAGCAAGACTGTCAGCCTGCCCACTGCTCACATCAACAGCAATCTGTAAAACAAATAAAGGTAGATGTGTTATTCTGTGCTAGCATATCAAGCAAAAATAAAAGAAAAAGAAATAATAAAGAAGATAAAAACGTTGTGGCACCTTAAAGACTAACTGCTATATTTTAATGTGAGCATCATGGACAAGTCCACTTCCTCTGACATGAACTTCATAGGATACTCACTGGAATAGCATCAGTCCAAAAATCTTACTGACAAAAGGCTACTTCAGACTACAATGCTTTAGATATATCCTGTGCAATCTAGTCAACTTCTATTGCAAGCTGAATCAGGGTTAAGTCCCGGTCATATGGAAATGAATTTACTTAGATCTGTGAAGCTAATTTTCAGCTAAGCTGCAAATAAATTTATTTAGAAAAAAGATGATCCTATGTGAGTAACGACAAGTTAAACCTTAAAAAGAGGGATGGCACTATATTTACTGCACGCCAGAAATTAGGAATAATTACTGTACATAGTCATGCAGTTACTATAAAGAACTTACATTAAATTGCCAGAGATAATCCTGAAATATTTAGTTGGTTTACTTGAAAACTATCCTGGGAACCATTTTATGGGAAAGCACCCTATCCTCAGTCAAGACTCTTATTTTGTTAACGTAGGTGAGGCCTATACAAGCAATCTAGTTTCCAAACAAAACAGTATCAACTTTGGAAAATATCTTAGAAAAGCAATCAGTAAAGACAAGTTACTGGGCATCCATATAACATCTGAAATCCTGTTGTGCAATTATGTCAGAGTTTATAAAAATATTGTTGTCTCCATTCAAAAATTAAATGTATCATAAAACTGAAATAATTCCTAATTTAAAAAAGGCCAGATAATACCACCAACCTCTGGACAGTGAGCAAACACAGGATTGTCCCATTCTGAAAATAAGCTCTGGAGAGATTTTCCTTGACTCTCTAGGAAAGAACATATGTACAATCTTGAAACTATGAACAGTTCCATATGAGGCTTTTATTATGTCATTCCCCTACCTCATCAATGCCCTATGACAACTACTTCATATCTGAAACGCTTCCAGTACATTAAGATAAAATATGTACAAAGGTAATCTCCAAGTAGGAAAAAAACTGCACAAACTGTCAAATATGAAGTACACATGAGATTTTATTTTATCACAAGTGCAGAGATTTAGTAGTCCTTGTACTGTCTGTCTAAAGGTTACAAAACAATGTGCAATCAGACTGCCCAGTACCTATGGAGACCTATACTTCAACAGAATTGTTATCTTTGAGATAGATGGTTAAAATGGATTCAGAATCTTTCTCTAAAGTAAGTTTTTGTGCAAAACCCCACCAAGTTATAACATTAAGGAAGGCTTGAAGTGAACTCCCCATTAAATTCCCACTAGGGTGGAAACCACATACCAGAACAATTATTCAAATTTCCTAATTTAATAGGATCTCAAAAATTAAATTTAGTGCAATTAGATTTAATTTTAAAAAGGGGCTAAGGAATTCCTCATCAAACCACCAATGTTTACTCAGAGTTCAGTACTTCATACTAACCACAGCTGCACTGTAATTGACTTTGACTCCAACAAGTTTTTCCAATTCCACACATCAAGTGATTCATAAAAGTCCTATTGTTAACAGACCCTGAATCACTCCAAGTTCCTGTCAGATAGCTGGCAGAATTCTTTGGTTTATTATTGCTTAGCAAAGTACCCTATGTCCTGGCAAAGTGGTCCTACCTGTGAAATCCTGGCTTCCCAAATGTCTCTCTTTCTGAGGTCTTGGAAGAAAGGGCACAATAAGGTCACTTCTAAAGGGGTGACATCTGCACTGAAATCCTGAACACCAAACCAAATAATTATCTGTACAGACTTTCTTACACCAGATGCCCACAAAAATGTTCGTTTGTTAGCTTTACTACTAAGAGAACAAAGAGTGCAATAAAAAAATAGAATTACATTTTTTACTAATATACAGTGAAAAAACAAAGGTGGCAATACAGTAGGACCCCCGTATCCGGGGGGGGAGGGGAATGGTTCCAACTCCCCCCCCCGGCAGTTGCTGAAAAACGTGAATTATTGCAAATGCAGTGTTTAACAGCAAATACTATGTACAGCAGACCTGGGCAAAGTGTGTCCAGAGAGCCACATACGGCACATGAGCTGCTCCTGTCTGGCCCGCGGACAGTTTTGAACATCAAAACCATTTATATCTTTTTGTCTAAAGTTTATCAGTTGCTTATCATTAACATACCGCAAAAAGTATTTGTGAAGATTAACCAGTTTAAAATAAAAACAATCATAACATCACTGTTTCATTTTATTTTTAAGTAAAGTTGGTTTGGCCCCCAAACACAGTTCAGGTTTTTCATGTGCCCCCCCATAGAAATTAATTGCCCATCCCTGATATACAACATGGTCTCTGGTTCCCTCTAGTGGCCAGTTCTGGTAACATCACCTTTAGAAATATGTATTTCTAGGTTTTTTGTACAGTGGTGCCTCGCTTAACGGGTGCTCCGTTTAGTGACGAAACCGCATAGCGACAAACTTTTTGCGATCGCAAAAGCGATCACATTGCGATGTTTCCTATGCGTTTTTTTAGCTTTGCGATGATCGGTTTCCTGTTTCGCTTACCGATTATCGCAAAGCGATTTTTTAACAGCTGATCAATGGTTCCAAAATGACCGCCAGGTAAAAAAACAGCTGCCCGCTGTGTTTTCGCGCGGATTCCTTGCTTTAGAGGCAGCGAAAATAGGTCACTTTTTTTGCCCATAGGAATGCATTAAACAGGTTTTAATGCGTTTTTATGGGCTTTTTAAAATCACATAGCGACGAAATCGCTTAGCAGCGATTTTTGCTGCACGGATTAACGTTGCTATGCAAGGCACCACCGTATTTGTGAAGGATTTCACAGCCGGGATCTAATGGTTGTTGTGGGTTTTTCAGGCTCTTTGGCCGTGTTCTGAAGGTTGATCTTCCTGGTTTTCTTCCTCCTCTTTCAGGAGATAGGGCGATCAGCATGTTTTTGTTGTGACAACAAAATCTCCTGAAAAAAGACAAAAGCTATTTCCCACAGCTATAAATACTCAACTATCCAACAAACACCAACAGAGCATGGACAGAGTTCCTACTCCAGTCCTCTGAAGGTGCCGGCCGCAGAGACTGGCAAAACGTCAGGAAGAATAACTTTCGGAACACGGCCAAAGAGCCCGAAAAACCCACAACAACCATCTAGGATTTTTCCTTGAATATTTTTAATATTTTCAGACTGTGGAAAAGTAATTCAGTGGATACTGATACCACAGATAAGGGGCCCTACTGTATTACACAATGCATTAAGGATATATTGGCTGAAATCCTGTTACTTAGAACAGTAGGTCACAACCAAAGTAAGCCCATTGAATCAGTAGGGATTTGGTGAGTTCTCCCTCCATGAGTTTTACTGATTCAATGGGTTTACTCTAGTTGTGACTTACTGTGCTAAGCAACATAATTTCAATCATTGACAAGGAGGTCTACACACTGAATAAATACAATTTGATTGTTCTTCCAATAAGGAGGCACCTCACAGAGCAGGACACAAGACGTTTAAAGAAGAACACAATGTTCAAGGGCAGAATGGGACACCATAGCAGGCAGGATCAGGGAAAGCCCCTCACCAGCAGCAGACATTTAGTGCTAGAAGTTGTAGTAAGCAAGAAAATATGTGAGACCTTCTAATAAAAGTAGTTCTACTCCACTTCCTCCTCCTTCTCTAAAGTATCACTTTCAACTAATCCTTTCTAATGCTACATTAGACTTTGTATCCTACAGACCCAACATAAGGTTGTGTGTAAGAATATCTATGCACTTGCCAACCAGAGATGGTCTTTGAGTGGATACGGAGGTTGGAGATGGCAATATAAGTTTAGAACAAGAGCTCAGATTCAAGAAGCCTAAGAACTAGTGCAGTAGAACTTCACTATTCCAAAAATAATTCTTAAAACAATAATGGATGAGATCAGGAACATGTTCAGACTATTCAAGTCTAATAGGAAATGACGGCATCAAGTTTATTAGATAATCAAATTCACTTAAATTCTGCATCTTCAATTCTACCTATTCTACCTGCATGTGATTGTGAACACTAATGCTATGAACTGTAATGTTTGTCTAAATGAAAGATTTAATTCTTGATTCATTTATTCTCACAATAACACTATGTGGTAAATGAAACACAAAATTATACACTGTGCACTTACCATTCTCTATGACGTTTACAGACATTGTGCTTATGTCTTTAATACATAGAGCCTGAGGTTCCTCACTTGGAGCACAATATGTGCTCAGTCCAGTCATTTGATTGATATACACTGTCCTGCCCAAAGAGGCATCAAACTGGAGCAACCACTCAGATGAAGAATGTGGTTGCTTTTCCTCATTCACAATTGCACTGGATTCATCTGTGACTTTTAAGTTACCAGACAAACTCACATTCTGACATTCACAGGCTTTCATATCTTGTTTTGCTGATCCATTCATAATGCCAGTAGTTTCACTTGAACCTTCAGAATTCCCCTCTTTATTGAACAAAGCTACATTTCTATTTTGGGGGACTACATATTCTCCATCACTATCAATGAAACAATGGTTAACAGTATGCTCAACATCCTCTGTTCTTGTACTCGAGAGTCCCATGGTAGTACCCTGCTCACCAGAAGGTGAGGCAAAATAGTGATGCCCTGTCACTTCTTTTCTTGCAGAAACTTGAAGTAAACATTCTTTCTCACAAGTGAGTTTATTTTTTTCTTTATCCTTCTGACTTAAACACACTTGGGGTTGTTTTAATGGTTGCTCTACAGGTTCTCTATTTAAAACATCTTCAAGGTTTCCCTTCATTCTAGACAATTTAGAGGCAAGTGTTCCTGTGAACTGAGTTTGAGAGAGAGAGTTTTTTTTTATTTGTGAGTAATCTGCCAGTGTCAGAGGACTTACATTAAAAGCTTCTCTGTTTAACAGACTTCTTTCCATGGACTGCTGTGACTTTTCTAAAGAAAATGGAGAATTACAGGTAATATTAGATGCAGCTGGTATTCCATGAATACAAGGATTCTGAAGATCTGTGTGGTCATCAGTAAGAGAGCTGCCACCAAGTGGTATTTCAACTGCATGCTTCTTTTCAAGAGCAGCTTTTGATGAAGAACTCTTTAAGTTCCCATAATGTCTCCTGAATCTATCTAACGAGCCCAGCTTTTGATACAAGCTTAATTTTTTTAAGCAACAAGATCTAGGTCTAACTGAAGGTTCAGCCATTTCTCTACTGTGGGGTGCACTGTCTAGATGAATAGAACCTGAAGAAGCTGCAGGAATTAATTCTTTAACATGTGATGCCACAAAGTCCATACTATCATTTGCTGGAACTGAAGCTACCCAATTCTTCCGACATGACACATTCCTCATCTCAGGCCCATCTGTAATTGCTGTGGATATGCTTTCATTTGTTATTCTTAAACATTCTTCAGAATTTTGAGTCTGACCTAAAAAATCCAACCTTTTTCCAAATATATCATTTGCACTTACTGGACCTAATTTAGGCAGGCTGATTAATTGATTGTTTACTTCTGTTGTTTTATGGGGTGGCTGATTTTGCCTCCAGCATGTTAGGAGGCCCGTGGAACACAACTTCAGTGGGAGTTGCCCCACTACTTCTTTGCCATCCGTATTTGACACTACAGAAGGTTCCCTGCCTTCTTTCACTGTCTTGTATTTTTCCTTCAAATAATCTGCAAAACGAAATTCACAGTTGAATTGGTTGACATCTTCCATAGTTCCAGCATGTCCCAGACCCACAATGTTCAAGCTACTTTGCTGAAGTACTCTTTCGTGTTGACTCCTGGTATCTTTATCACATTCCTTAATATGAAACAAACTATCCGGTTGTTTGTTTGTTTCTAACACAATTGACCTGTTCTGCTCACCACATGGACACTTGGAATTATTTGATTCAGTCTGTTGGTTAACAGGCACACTTGCCTCTTGCTGTAGGTTATCCAATTTGGGGAATTCATAAGTGGTGTCATTTTTGCTGGACAAAAGATTCTCTATTTTATTACTTCCAAGTTCATGAGTAGGTTCAGTACCAGTTAAATCTAAGCAAACATCAGTTCTTTCCACATTGCTAATAGGTTCAGTGTGATCTGATGCCTCCACAAGAGTTATTTTCCTTCTAACTGACTTTGATTGCAGATTAAACATTTCATAAGAATCCATAATATTATCACAAGCTTTCTTAAAATTCTCCTGCATGCCCTTCTCTTCTGTGAGAGAAGATGTTAAAGCTACAGAGCTAGCCAAACAAAAGTTATTCTGTTCATTAAATTCTTTAATATCTTCACTACACAGTTCAATAAATAGTTGTTCTCGCTTTAAGAATTCCTTTACTCCTTCTTCAACACAAGTTAAGAGAGTAGCCCAATCACGAAATTCTATAAGAGTTTTTGCAGGTTCCAAGCATACATCATAATCATCATACCGACACTTCACATTTATAATAAAGATTCCATAGAGCTCTGGGCCAGAGCGGTGGCGAGCTGGACTTGAATTTGAAGATCCACTTTTTGTTTTGCATATAACACTTTGTTTTCTTAATAAAAAGTCAATGAGTTTGTGCAATCTTGTTCTTAATACTATCCTATTATTCACAAATAAAAACTGAATATTCTTATTGTAATGCCCCTCAGAACTGATAAAACCACTTATTTCAAATCCTCCAAACTTATAATTTATTTCTCGTAATTTCTGTGATTTACCTAGACCATAAATCTGAGAAAACCGGGAACAAATATCTTTTGTCTTGGACAGCTGAAGCACCACTGAACAGGAAGTATCATTCCTTAAAGAAAAGGAGACAGAGGGGTGAACAAGTGAAATGGCTTCTACTTTATGCCTCATTCTTTCTAATTCCAGTAAAGAATCCATGCATTTTCTCCTCACAGGTAAATGGTGGAATAAATTACACACAGTCACAGTTGTTCCAGGACTTGGTCTATTCAATTCTGCTTCTGAGACTTCCAGTCCTTTTCCATTATGAAACATTTTCAAGAAGGTTTTTGATGTTTTGCTAGTCTTAGATGATATTTCCAGTAAGCTTGCCATGCTTGCAATGCTGGCCAAAGCCTCCCCACGGAAACCATAGCACTTCAGATTTTCTAGGTCTTTCAAAGAGCAACATTTACTAGTAAAATACCTATTCCCCACTTTGTTGAGATCTTCTCTTGCTATACCACAGCCATTATCCACTACCTGGACTTTTAAAGTTTCCAAATCAACTCTAACAGCCACACATGTTGCTTTAGCATCTATACTGTTCAAGATAAGCTCCTCAGCACACTGGCCTAGTGAAGCGATGGCCACTCCAGAGCGCAATTTGGCTTGCACTTCTTCAGTCAAGCATTTGATCATTGCAAGAGCAGGAAAGAAACCTCAGGAGACTGGATATGCATCACCACTTTCTTTTCTTCTGACTTATCTGTTAAAAAATAGACGCAAATAATTAAAAGGTTAATTTGACTTTGACTTTTTTTATTAGAGGTTTAATAAACCCCTTAGCATTTTTCTAGTGCCTTCTCACAGTCATTTTAATATTCTCTCAATCAACAAAATCCAGTTGCCACTTCAGAAATACTCATCTAGAAAATAATTCCGATTTATCACTTCTATGTGTTCTATCTATATAACATTCACACACAAACTCCAATACTATTAATGGCAATAGAGAACTGTGAAAAATAATAGATTGAACTAAATCCAGATTTACATACCAAAAGCAATTATTTCAGAAGACTGTATACTAACTTAAAACTATACATTACACATGTATTCAAAATGTTCTCCATCTTTAATTAAACCACAATTATTGGACACCAAAGGAGAGTACCACAGCAAGCATAAAACTGACCTATGTAATGGGAAATTAAACTGCATTATATCACCAATACTGTTTATTACTACTGTCAGAGTAGTTGGACTAGATGAATCTAGCTGGCAGCCCCAAGTACAATTGACCAATGAACCAATGGGATTTACGAAAGTATTGATTTATCATTCGGGAGTTAATTCAATAAGACTACTACAGTCGGAACTAGCAACTGGTTTAGGACCATAGCTTGGGGAGGATGTTGTATGTTTGTGCATGTTTTTTTCTTTTCTTTATGCTCGGGTTGTATGGAGTTAGCTAGAACAAATAACAGTTCAAGGCACTCACTCTCCTGACCTAGAAAATACCTTTTTAAAAACACATGCACCAAAACATAACAGCCACACTCACAGCTCCATTGCTAATGCAATGTCAACTTCGTTCACTGAAACCACAGACTATGTATATTAAGACACCTTGGCACAATAGTTAAAAGGACTAAAGAAGCGAGGGATGTTCACAATTCCACACTGCTCGGCCACTCCAAGCTTATCCTACCTCACAAAATGTTGTGAGGATAAAGCGGGGAAACCGTCTATCACATCTGGTGACATAACCTGAACTTCTTGGAAGGAATGGTGGGCGGGCTACTCGTGCGGGGAATGAAAGAAATACTTGTAAGGATTTCAGCTTAGTCAATAAACAGCGAAAGAAAATACACCTGGAACCTCTTCTTAATAGGAAACTATTCTAGATGGTAAGGAAAAACGCGAGGAAACCCCATGCCTTTGCTTCTCAACCTGGTTGGCTTCTGCCTGAGGGGACCACAGCAGAAAACGAAGCCGAGCAGCGTAGTTGCTGTTATCCGACCAAAACAGGAAGCCCACTGCGGACGGGCCGCCGCCAACCGATAGGCAACCTGGCCAGTCTCTCTTCCCGAGAGGCAACGTTAATCTCCGCCTCCGCCTCCCGACCATCTGAGGCACTCCCAACAGCAGCCCCGCTTTCGCTTCCGCGCTCTCCTTCGCCTTCCGGGGCGAGAGAGACTGCACCTCAGCGACACGCAGGTCGTTCAATTTCTCTCGTCGCCTCAGTTAGCGCCAATAACTGCCGGCAACGTAGAGGAAAATAAAGACCTACTACAAAACCACACCGGAGTAACTACGAGACATCGGTTTCCATCGTACGTCGAAAAAATATTGCAATGCATTCTGGGTCTTGTAGTCTTTCGAAATGTTCATTGTCCCGCTTGGAGGCCTCAATAGAAAGAGAGCGAGTATTCTTCACTTGGGCAGGCAGAGCGGGTCAGAATAATCGCTAGGGAAACCTGTGGGAGCAACTTAACGCATCTCTCCCCAAGGTTTTCCGATGAAATTTTGTTCATAAGAAAGAGGTGGGTGAAAATCTCTCACTTGAATAGTGACGGTGGTTGAATCTCTAATGCAGCACGAGCATTGCAGTTACTTGATCAGAAGAGATGGGGAGTCTGCAAAATTTTCTGGATTTTTCATTTGGTGTAGTTTGTGAAGTAGAACTACAAAAGTGAAATATTTAGGTCAGACTTTATTTATAGCTGCTCAAAAGGGGATGGTGATAGGGGCTGTCAGGAAAAGCATGGTAGCATGCTTTAGACTTTGAACACTATAATTAATATGAATCAAAAAGTAGATGCCACTATTGAACAAATTATTAGGAAACATCTCTTTCCTCTGCTGCTTTTCACCATCAAGAGTTCAGTTTTATGCTTTCTCTGCTTACTGTATTTGCATACAAGCAAATCCAAGAATGGAGCACTTCCATACTGTTATTTTATATAAGTTATTTTACAGAGTATTGTACATAAAGCCACCATTTCAGTTTCCTTATGTGAGAAGGTTTAGGTCAGGATAAGCTAGGATGAGTCAGGGTTACTTTAACTCGGGACTTGTATTGATAGGGAGTTGGCCCAGATAACCTTTTTGGATCACTTTCAACTATACAGTTATGTTATATTCTATAGGTATGTAATGGTGACATGGGAAATAATGTGCAGGATGTTGTGTTAGTGATCAACAGCATAAATGTGTACTGCAAGTCAAGCAAGGATGTGTAGTTTCAATGACATGGAAAATTACTCTTAAAATTAACTATCACTAGGATTTATTTCCAAGTATTAACATGACTCAAAAATAAAGCATATCTAGACTGTTTCAGAAAAGATTTATACACATATCCTCAATCTGTCCACAACACTGTTATAGCTCACCAGTTTCAACTGTGTACTCACAGCAAGTGGGAAATTGTAAATATACTGAATTAGCAACAGCAGCCTAAGCTCTAGTATCAGAACCCTACAACCCCATTGGAAGACTCCAAACTATCCCTCTCCCATCCCATAATAAAATGCATTCCATAACCATTTCATTTCTTAATTCATGTAAATATGTTCAATATGCTTCTTCCACTTCTGTGAAGATCAAGCAAATGATTCAAGCACCACAGCTTTAAACAATTACATATGAAGTGCAAAAAAAATGCTCCTGCATTTTTCATGCAATGGCAACTGCAGTAAGAATTTGGAATTTTACACCAACACATCAGTGGCATCGCATGGAAAAGCTTTTATACTGCATGGAGCTGGGTATGTGTAGGTGTGTGCATGTACATATGCTACATCTCTGTGTGGTTTGTGATGGAAGGACTTGTTTCATTCCACAATGGAGTTTCCAAGCAAGGTATTTTATTTTACCTGTAGAAATTAGTAGAAAATTAGAATACACCAGGAAAAGAGGAAGGCCTAACATGATATGGTTGATTCAATAACAAAAACTACAGTTTTCGGTTTATGAGACCCAAGGACTGCTCTTAATAGTAAGCGCTTCTGGAAGTCAGTAATTACCGTATTTTTTGCTCCATAAGACGCACCTTTCCATAAGACGCACCAAATTTTTAGAAGAAAACAGGAAAATATAATCTTTTTTTCTTCGCTCCATAAGACGCACAGACTTTCCACCCCCGTTTTGTGGGAAAAAAGTGTGTCTTATGGTGCGAAAAATACGGTAATTCAGGCATTACATGCTGGAAGCAACCTGACAGCACATAACAAAAAAGGGCACTCTCAGAGATGCTACTAAGGTGATTTTTCTCCTTGCTTTCTGTGACCCCATCCTCTGAGAAATCTTACCTACATCGGTTGCCATAGCTCTCGTGGAAGATGAGGTTATCAGAGGTTACCAATTTATTATCTCTGTGCATTGCTTCCACTATGAGAGCCAATATGCTTCTGAATACCAATTTATTGGGAAAATAAGCAAGAGGGTGTTGATGCAGTTATACCCTAGTTTGGGGCTTTCCCTAGATATTTATCTGGCCATTGTGGGAACTGAATTCTGAACTAGATAGGTTTTCAGTTTAATCAATTACAGCATTTCTCACACTCTCTGCGTTTTTAACTACCTGCACACTATCAACTGGGTTTGTTCTTGGTCTTTGTGTAGTGCGACAGGATGACAAGAAGTTATTTTTTCATACCAATTTTAAACTGCACTCTTTTTAACAAAATTAATTTCAATCCTATATTCATTCATTTTGTCTCTCCCCATCCAATGAATATGTGATGAACTTTTTAAAAAAGTATCATAAACCACTTAGAAAATAGTATTCAAACCAAAAAGCAAACATCTACAAACAAAAAGCAAACATCTATAGTAAAATACTGTAATTTTATTATATATTAACCTGCATTCATGAAATCTACAACAAAGTTCACCTTAAGCTTTTCAATGGGCTATCTAATTTTAATGCATACTATTAGACATTACATGCCTAAGTAATGCCTTTAGTAACAGGCATTATATTAGCACATCAAGTTTTTAAGCCAAGAAGCTTGCCTATTTATAAGTGCATTCAATGTAATACCTGTATAATGTAAATAAATAACACGCAAGACTGAAAGAATCTGCATGTAAAACAATTAATGGAAAAATATAAGGGGAAGGTTTTCTTATAGATGATCTTGTGACTTTTAAAAAGCAAACTAGCTCCTTTTTCTTTTGGGCCTTGTTATTTGACAATGCTGAAATCACTGTATTCTAAATTAGTAATCTTCTTTTCATTATGGAATTCAGCTCTGTCAATGATGGACTTGGGACTTCCCTTCTTCTGAAGCCATTCTTGAAGCTGCTGCACCTTTACAATAGGGCCTTGTATCTGTCCTTGCACAGTGCCATAGTTGGTATTCTGGACCCAGCCAACCAGACCCAGCTTCTTTCCTTCAGCCTAAAGAAAGAAATACATTGCATTTATTTATTTACAGACATTTTATATAGCCCGACTTAATGGCATACAGTACACTACTCTGGGAGCTAAACAAAAATATAAACAACCCCAGCCTTTTAGATTGAAAGACAAATATATGATACACAACAATCATAAACAAATTGAGAAATTAAAACCCCAACAAATAATCTATACTATATAGACTCTTCCAAAGAAAGAGCTAATATAATTAGTCTGGAGATCAAACTGGGCTACTTTGTGCAGGAAGCAGTGTCCCCAACAGAATGTAACTATTGTTTGTGTCACATTTCCACAATGTCTCCTCCTTGTCCAGGAAATATAAACAAGTCTACTTATAAACATGCTTTTTGTCACCCTCAAAGTGCAATAAAAATGAAGCAGCGTAGTTGAGTCTAATAGCAACGTCCTCTGTCTATACTCCAAACTTGAGTTTTGCTGAATTCAGTGAAGCCTATTCTAGAAAATGGAAGTGCAAGACAAAGACCTCCAGCAGTCCAATCCTATACAGTACACGTCTCCTCAGAAGCAAACCCCACTTAATTTTCGTGATTACCCCCAGGTAAATGAAAATGGGTCTACAGCCAGCATGTTCATCAGTACCGATCAAAAAGACAACCCAAAGTAGCCTCCTCCTAGGTTGGCCACAGAACGATCTACGTACAAGAAGGGCCACGCACCTGTGTGTATTTGCGGAAAAACACCCCTTGGACTTTCCCAAACACTTCATAATCCACGGAAAGGAGCCCATCTCCCTCAGCCATGGCCGGTGGTGCCTGGACCAAAAGCAGAAACATAGCCAGCCAGAAAAGGAGATACAAATCCCGACCCCATGTCCATCCCATCAAAGGGGGGGGGGAACGAGGGCAGCGGTGGCACCGCCAGCTCAACAACCCCCTGCAACTCCCAACGACCGCACCACGAGGGCAGCGGTGGCACCGCCAGCTCAAACTAGGCTAAAGTCATCGGAAAGGAGAAGATCGGGCCGGATCCCCTCCCCGTCCCGTCCCGTCCCGTCCCTCCTCCCTCAGTCCGTGCCCCATAAGGCGAGCCAAAAGGTCAAAGCACAAAGCCCCGCCTTCAATCTGCATCCTCATGAATATAGAGGGAGAGATGGGACAGGATGGGGCCTCCGCCAGTTGAGGGTCTTTGCAAAGCTTTCACTAACAGCAGGAAGCGCCCGGCCGGCCGACTTGCTCAGGAAACTGCCCCACTTTCCAAGAATCCCGAAGGCTTTAGAGCCGACCATCAACCGCCACGAACGGCCGGGCTTCTAACCGGCTTACCATGGAGCAGCCCTCCCTCCAGGTGCCCAGAAGAGTCCTAGCACCTAAAACGGAAGTGGAGGCAAGTCGTCCTTTCTAGGGTGAAGTGCGGACGGCAGCAGTATATGGCCTGGAACCATAGAGACAAAAGACTCGATGGAATGAAAAGCGAACTACAGTGCTGTATGTATGAAGATGAAAGAGCGAAAAGCCAGAAAACAAAACGAGGAAGAAAAAGTAGCGGTGAAAATCGATATGAGGCGTGAAAATCGGCCGTTCAGCAACAGCTTTATTGAGACAAACCAAAATGGCATAGAAATACGAGAAGAAAAACGGGGTTGTTCCTTCAGAATGTTTTCCACTCCAACTTCCAAAACCCCGAGCCTCAGATGAGGGGGTAATGGACATTGTAGTCCAAGTAGCTTGGGGGACCAAGGGTTTGCCATCATCCCTCTCCTCTCTATACATGTAATTTTTTAAAAAGTATTGCGACACTAGAAGATTGAAGGGTTTTTTTAAATTACGTATTACAATCCACTTCCTTACACATATGACATATCATATATAGGCTTACGCGCATAATTTCCATTATCTTGATGGAAATGGAAACCAAGCGGGATGCGATGCCGGTAAAAGTGATGAACGTACTTGCTGTTTTGGACCGGAAGCGGCTAGAGAGTAGTCGGATGTAGCATCCGCGTGCACGTTGCTAGGCAGCCGGGGTAAACAGCTCCACGGACCGGAGGCCGGTGTAAACAGCGTATGGGCTTGGCATGAGGTATGAAGGCCGAGGATACGTGTCTGGGGCAGGCAGGCTTGGCCTCGCGAGGCGGGTGAGGGCCCGTTGCCATGGCGAGCGAGCCGCTGTGGGCGTTCTTGGGGCTTCATCACATTCCCGGAAGGTCAATCCTCCCGTTAAGCAGGGCGGATCATCCGATGGGCAGTCAGTCCGTCCACCTGGGGACACTTGGGCGCGTTAGATAGATGTTAATTCCACTCCTAACCGATTGTTAGCAACTGGCAGCCTTCTGCCTAAAAGAACGTGATTGTTTCCAGTCGAGAAGGGTCTCAATCGTAAATGCACTTACAGTACACGCAAGTAGGGTTTATATTGGTGCTTTTAATAGACATCTATAGAGTTATGATGAGTTAAGGGTAGATCAACTCACTTCAGGCTCTTCACAGTTGCAGAACTTCTTTATCACAAGGCATAGTTAAATGCTTTTTTTTTAATTTACGGAGTTTGAAGCAGCCTCAGAGGTAAGTCCCTTTTCTTGTAAACAGCCCCATTTAATGATTTGACTTTAAATTTGTTTTGATGGAAGTGTAAGGAACTGAATCTGTAGAATACTTGTCGTTGTGTAAAACAGTATGTTTTAGCAGGTAACCTAGACTTCAGTTTTCTCCACCTTTGGCCCATCTGTTGCTGATGGTCGGTTGCTGAACTCTTTGTTAAAGAACAGATTAAACATCTCCTGCACTTGTATTAAAGTCAGTATACTAGGAGCATTCATTCTGATAGTTCATAGAGCTGGAAGGGACTTTAAGTTAAATGCAGGAATCCAAATCAAAGCAGATCTAATACATGCTTGTCCAGTTTTCTTTGAATACCCCCAATATTGGAGCACTCACCACATCCCAAAGTAATTGGTCCCATTGTCATACTGCTCTAACAGTTAAGAAGTTTTTGCTGATATTCAGCCTTGTCAAGGTATCCTATTTGTCAGGACAGCTGGTGGTGAAGGCTTCTGCCAGCCTTGTCAAGGTATCCTAGTTGTCAGGATACATTGCAATTACTATACATTCTGCTGATTCGTAGCATCATTGGCTTAACTGAAAAGTATGAACTAAGTACTGTACATAGTAAGCTAATATTGTGTGCTTAGTACATCTAATTAAGTATTCAGCATTTTGTTCATAATCGGGTACATGCTGTAGACATAGGGCAAGGGCGTGGGCTTCATCTGTAATTAGTTCACAAAAACTTTAAGTTCTGTCACAGGGCAGGCCTCTGGGATTCTTTTTTCACTTCTCTTTACAGGCAGTTTTCTCTTGCCTCACCTCCTTTGCAGAAGTGATTACATGTTTGGGTTTGGGACCTCGATATTTGGCAGATTGTCTCCTCCCACCCAGATCTACCCGAACCACCCATTGTAGCCAGCAGGGACGGCTGAGGGGCCTGACGCCAAGAGAGGCTCGGAAGGAAAAAACTAGAAACCGGGCCTTCTCGGCGGTGGTCCCTCGGCTGTGGAACACCCTTCCAACAGAAATTCGGCTGGCACCGTCGCTGGGTATTTTTAAAAGACTGTTAAAAACTTGGCTATTTAGGCAGGCCTTCCCTCCAGTCAGCTAACTCTTTTCATTTCTTTTTTCTTATCTTATCCCAAACTAGTATCCTTTCTTAAATTAATTGTTTTAATTAATATAGAAATTGTATTTTATTATTATATATATATATATATTATATAGATCTATTTTATGTTGTAAGCCGCCCCGAGTAGACATGGTCTGGAGGGGCGGGGTATAAATTAAACAAACAAACAAACAAACAAACAAATAAAATACTTCTGAATATGTTGTACCTTGAAAACTCTATGATGAGCAATCTGAAATTAAATAAGAGATAGTTCTGGAAGATGAGACTTCCAGGTCAGAAGTCATTCAATTTTTTTGATGTTGTTTAGTCGTTAAGTCGTGACCGACTCTTCGTGACCCCATGGACCATAGCATGCCAGGCCCTGTCTTCCACTGCCTCCCGGAGTCGGGTCAAATTCATGCTGCTAGCTTCGGTGACACTGTTCAACCATCTCATCCTCTGTCGTCCCCTTCTCCTCTTGCCTTCACACTTTCCCAACATCAAAATAATAGAAAGGGAAAAACCAGAGATCTGTTCAAGAAAATTGGAGATATTAAAGGAACCTTTTGTGTGAAGATGAACATGATAAACGACAAAAATGGAACCTAACAGAAGCAGAAGAATACTCAGAGGAATTATAAAGAAAGATATGGATGTCCCGGACAACCCAGATAGTGTGGCTGCTGACCTTGAGCCAGACATCCTGGAAAGTGAAGTCAAGTGGGCCTTAGAAAGCATGGCTAACAACAAGGCCAGTGAAGGAGATGGCATTCGAGTTGAACTATTTAAAATCTTAAAAGATGACGCTGTTAAGATGCTACACTCCATATGCCAGCAAGTTTGGAAAACTCAGCAGTGGCCAGAGGTTTGGAAAAGATGAGTCTACATCCAATCCCAAAGAAGGGCAGTGCCAAAGAATGCTCCAACTACCGTACAATTGCACTCATTTCACACGGTAGCAAGGTTAGGCTCAAAATCCTACACGGTGGGCTTCAGCATTATGTGGACCAAGAACTCCCAGAAGTACAAGCTGGATTTCGAAGGGGCAGAGGAACTAGAGCCCAAATTGCTTACCTATGCTGGATTATAGAGAATGCCAGAGAGTTCCAGAAAAACGTCTACTTCTGCTTCATTGACTATGCAAAAGTCTTTGACTGTGTGGACCACAGCAAACTACGGCAAGTTCTTAAAGAAATGGGAGCGCCTGACCACCTTATCTACCTCCTGAGAAATCTATATGTGGGACAGGAAGCAACAGTTAGAACTGGATATGGAACAACTGATTGCTTCAAAATTGGGAAAGAAGGCTATTTTTTGTCTCCCTGCTTATTCCACTTATATGCAGAATACATCATGTGAAAGGCTGGACTGGATGAATCCCAAGACAGAATTAAGATTGCCGGAAGAAATATCAACAACCTCAGATATGCAGATGATACCACTCTGATGGCAGAAAGTGAGGAAGAATTAAAGAACCTTTTAATGAGGGTGAAAGAGGAGAGTGCAAAAAATGGTCTGAAGCTGAACATAAAAAAAACTAACATTATGGCCACTGGTCCCATCACCTCCTGGCAAACAGAATGGGGAAGATATGGAGGCAGTGACAGATTTTACTTTCTTGGGCTCTATGATCACTGCAGATGGAGACAGCAGCCACGAAATTAAAAGACGCCTGCTTCTTAGAAGGAAAGCGATGACAAACCTTGACAGCATCTTAAAAAGCAGAGATATCACCTTGCCAACAAAGATCCGCATAGTTAAAGGTATGGTTTTTCCAGTAGTGATGTATGGAAATGAGAGCTGGACCATAAAGAAGGCTGACTGCCGAAGAATTGATGCTTTTAAATTGTGGTGCTGGAGGAGGCTCTTGAGAGTCCCCTGGACTGCAAGGAGAACAAACCTATCAATTCTAAAGGAAATCAATCCTGAGTGCTCACTGGAAGGACAGATTCTGAAGCTGAGGCTCCAGTACTTTGGCCATCTCATGAGAAGAGAGGACTCCCTGGAAAAGACCTTAATGTTGGGAAAGTGTGAAGGCAAGAGGAGAAGGGGACGACCGAGGATGAGATGGTTGGACAGTGTCATTGAAGCTACCAACATGAATTTGACCAAACTTCGAGAGGCAGTGGAAGACAGGAGGGCCTGGTGTGCTCTGTCCAAGGGGTCACGAAGAGTCAGACACAACTTAGCGACTAAACAACAACCCTACTCTTTACACTCTTGGTGCTCCATTTACTTAGGGGTATTTTTCTGCAAGTTAACATTTATTTCTGCCAACACAGATCTGTTCTGTTCCAGTCCAGGAGGACCTGGGAGTGGTGCCTCCGAGGACAGTGGGGCCCTCATGATTTTCTCATTTCAATTTTGTGGAATCAATTGGAAGCAGCATTAATAAAACATGTCCTTTCTTAGCATAACATTTTCTCCTGATCCATGGATCTGGTCTTGAAATTTGGGTTAACATTTATTTCTGCCAACACAGATCTGTTCTGTTCCAGTCCAGGAGGACCTGGGAGTGGTGCCTCCGAGGACAGTGGGGCCCTCATGATTTTCTCATTTCAATTTTGTGGAATCAATTGGAAGCAGCATTAATAAAACATGTCCTTTCTTAGCATAACATTTTCTCCTGATCCATGGATCTGGTCTTGAAATTTGGTGCAGGTTTTTTTTTAATCTTTTATGGGAACCTAGTATTCACATGCAAGTTTCCCTGTGGTCTGAGCATTAACTCCCATTATACTACAGCAACACACAGGAAAAATGTATACAAGGGGTTTATTTGTTAAGTTTCATTTAGAATTAGGCAGTTGTTCAGAGTTGCACATGAAGGTTTTTAGGTAGCAGAAAAGCTGGAGCAAGTTTCCCTGCACTAACCTTGACTTGCAGTGCTATTTGGAAAAGGAGGTGCAGAAGACTTCCAGTGGGAAGGCTATTACTTGCTTTCTCCCATAGTTCTTTAAATAATCATATATATCTATAAAAGCATAAAGACTCCCAGCCCACCTTCTATGCTTAAATGTAAAGTTAACTAATTTAATAAGTTTGGATATTGTAATAGAATAAAAAGTGGCCATGCAGCATCCAGTCAATCCAATATGCAATTCTAGTTCTGTGGATTATTCATGAAAACAAAATCATGGCTAGATGCCTTTATAAAGCCCCCTTAGAGCTTCTGAGTACTTGTTCCCCTTATTGCTGGAGGTGGGAGCAATCTGTAGCCTGCATAATTAAACTGTAAACTACCCCGAGAGTGCTTTGAGCACTATGAGGTGGTGTATAAGCAACAGACTTTGCTTTCATTTTATCATAGTGGAGGAACAGAGACTTTGATTGAGTGCCCTAGTCATAGCATGCTTGTAACATGTCACATTCCTTCAGGCTTTATTGGACCGGCTGAATGGCTGAGTTGCAGCTGTCTGTGTGTTCAGTTATGGATCCAGCAGCATGTAATCCAAGTCTTCCAGCAACAAACCAGGAGAGGTGTCATCCAGAAGTTCTTAAAGAACATACCCAGTTGGAGCACCTAAAGAATAATATTGAGCAACAGCTCCTATGCAACAATGATAAGCTGGCAGATCTTCATCTCCAAAAGAGGCAACGCTCTTTTTGTTCTCATCCTGCAGAAAATACTCACCTGATTTTGGAAAAGGCAGGCTTCTACTCTGCTGGCCCCTTCAACTGGTATTTCAAGGGACAGGCTAGTACTTTGCCAGCTCACTGGCGAACTAGGCGGAGAGAAGGTGTGGACAGGGCGTACCCACTTAAGCCAGTCTTTCACCATAAAGGTAGGAATGTTCCTCTTCCCATTTCTTGGCAAGCTGGGAACTTGGCAGCTAAGGAAAATCCTTCCGAAGGTACTAGCTCAGAGAAAAAAGAAAAGTCACACATACTCAAGTCTCAGCATGCTGGAGTGCCGCCACTTTTTCCCGTTGGCCAGTCTAAGATATCAGCTCCTCATTCACGGGCAGAGTCGGGCTACATTCAAAAACTGGAGGCTGCTGGACGGAGCTTAGAGGAGGAGATCCAGCGGAAGGAGGCTCTCCTCAAGGAAAAATTGAGAAGAACAGAAGAAGAGCTCCGGAGAATACAGTGGGAAAGGCAGCAGACAGAAACAAAAGCAAGAAGAGAACAAGGAGCATTACGGATGTCTGAGAGGAAAGCAGCTGATATTGCTCAGGGCCGTGTTTCAAGACCTGCAGCTCAGCTGCACACTTGTGAAAAGATACATGTTTCAGAGAGCCCCGCAGCTTCATTGGGGGCTGCCATGCCTCCCCAGCTGCTCCCTATGGAAAGACTCAAAAAACAAAGATTGGTGGCTAGCAATAGTAAAATTCGAGAAAATATTTTAGCTACTTCTAGCCCAGAACTGGCTCCACTGCATGACCAGTCTCTTCCAGCAGCAACCCCTTTAGGACAGCTTAGCTGTGTGGCAACAGACTCATTAATTACAGAGGATCCTAGCAATGTAGAAGAATGGGGAGAGTGCAATATTTGTGAACGAAAGCTTTACCGGTCCAGATTGGAGAAGCACATAAGTATCTGCAGCAAGAACCATGGCTCCAAAAGAGAAGTGTTTGATTCAAGCAAAGCTAGAGCCAAAGGCACTGAATTAGAGACATACCATCTCCTGAAGGGCTCAGATATCTCCCAGGTAATACACATGGTTACTAATTACACATTCACTGTTCTTCTTTTAATTTATATGAGAATTCTAGCTAGTTTCGGATCTAAGCGCTAATGGGCCTGAGTTCTCCTTAGCTTTAAAAACACAGTAGCATCATTTTCTGATACCCACCTATCTGTCTGGGAAGAGGTTCAGTCTTTTTCTCTCAAAGATTTCCTACAAATAATAACTTGATGATTGCTGAAGTATCTCCAGTATCTTAACCAAATACAACTGCAGATGGGGTAACTTCTAGCATCATTTCAGGCAAGGGCAAAAAATAGAATGTGAAGTTTCAGTAAGGTTTAGTTTAAAGCACTGAGAATTGGCCTAGAAACGACAGGCTATAAACTGTTTTACCTCCTTTTGTCATACACATATAGGTAGTTGTTGTGGATGTGAAAACAAGCAGACAAAACTTACCAGGGTTGTATGTAAAGGTGTCTAAGTAGCAGACAGACTTAAAATTTATCAAGTTAATTTGGCATAATCTATAAAAGTCACTGCTATAAGTCAGCATTTATGTCAGGCATTTACCGGTAGTAGTATCTGGTAAACACTGTGAGGATCTAGTAAAGAGAAATCATTTATACTTAAAATTACAGAAACGGAGTTTTTCCTGTTTCCTATTTTAGCATAGGTAAATTCTTCCTAACTGAATACATTTTATCTACACTCCTTTTAGATGATTTACCGAGTTTTACTGAATTAGGAAGAAAATACAATGGTGTTCATTTGCAATGTATCTATGAGCAAAATTTGGCTTTAAGGAGTAGTAAAAGTATTCAGCTTGGCTATTAATAGTTAGACCTTAATATACACAGTATTTTTCCATTTGTCTGACTGCTGTAGGGGCTGGGAATTCATTGCATTATAATTGTCCTATGATGTCAGAAAAGATCACATTGTGAGCTAAGAAGGTTGTACTAATGGTTTCTCCCACTACCCCTGTCACTACAGAAAAAATTCTCCAGCCAAAGCTCTGAGGCTTCCAAGCAAATCAATATATCTAAGCAAAGCAACTGGCGACAGAAGCATGACTCTTTCATCAAGACATTGCGCAGGGCTCGGGAGGTTCAGCAAGTAATCTCAAAAGGGGGGAAGGCCTCAGATCTTCCCCCAGCACCTGCCATGGAGAACCCAGACTACAAGCTGTGCCCTTATTGCACCCGTCAGTTTGCACCCAAGGTAGCAGAGAGACACATTCCAAAATGCAAGAACATAAAGAACAGGCCCCCACCACCGCAACAAAAGAAACGTTGTTAGTGGTGGGCCAAAGTGGTACCATTTCCCAGTCTGACAATCCAGAGTGACAGAAAGTATTCGCAGAACTATTGCTTCATGTAAGAGACAATAATGTGAAAATGTAAAAGTGAGAAGCCCATAAACTGTGAACAGATTAATTAAAGCCCTTGTATTACATGTGAGGTTAGTGCCTAAGGCAGTACTTAGGCTACAACAGTGCCCTTTATCTTTAGCGAACAATGGGATTTCAATCTGCTTCTTCGGATGTGGCACTTGTGTGTTGCAGAGGTGTTACTGAAAAGTGTCAGAAGGCAAGATAGAACACACTACCACCAGCAGCTTTAAAGGCAACTCTGCCCGCCACAGCAAAAGAGTACCTTCATTCCATAGAATGCAATGTATCAGTTGAGAAGGGGTGATGCCTATTTGGATATAATGAGGTAAATTCAACATTGCCAGAATTTTCTCCTCTAGCCTTCCATGCTGGTTTTTCCAGACCTCCAAAGCTGACAGTGGACACACTGTGGGGTCCAGTGGGATAGAGGGAATCGCTCCTCACCTGGTTCTGTTGGATTCTGCTCTTCCACTGTTCATTCCTTTCTATTGTGTGCTACCCATTGCCTCCCATTTGGATGAATCTTTTCATAACTAGTTTCTTGGCTCGTCTGCAGATACTGTAAGTTCTGTTCGTTGAAGCAGATTGCAAAACAGTTGTAGAAGAACATGGAAACTATTATAGTGGAATGGGTTACCTTAGTGTGGTTAGAAGTGGCACAGCTACCTTATTTATATGCAATACATAAACTTGGGGCGGAATGAACTGAGCAAGTCTTTCAGAGGTAGAACTATGGATTAGTTATATTTAAACTGTTAATGACCAAGAGATCTGGGTGCTAACTAGCCACAAGTAGTCAGCAAACAATGGAATTTTTATATACTGTATATATAGCACTGAGAATTGGCCTAGAAACGACAGGCTATAAACTGTTTTACCTCCTTTTGTCATACACAAAAGGGTTGTATGTAAAGTGTCTAAGTAGCAGCTGTAGGTAGGTGTTGTGGATGTGAAAACAAGCAGTCAAAACTTACCAGGGTTGTATGTAAAGTGTCTAAGTAGCAATGTCTAAGTATATATATATATACTGTATATACTTATATATATATTTATATATATAAAAACGGAATTTATATATATCTGCTATGTCATTTAATTCACCATGTTTATTTACTAAACATGGGAATGTAAATCATGGAGGAATATATTTCCTTTATGTCACAATGGCTGAGATTCTGTTGCTTAGTGAAATAAATTCCAATTAGAGTAGGCCCATTGGAATCCATGGAACTTAATTGGCTCACTAAATCTCCACTGATTTAGTTGGACTACTGTAGCACAATTTTCCACACTAAGCAGCAACATTTCAGCCAACATTTCCCCAAATACTATCATACAATGTGGTATTTTAACTGATTATGTGGTACACAGGAATTGCTATAGATTTTTTTCTGAGACCCATGTTTTCAAAATGACAATTCTGAAGCAATGGGAGTGAAAATAATTTTAAAGGTTTCAAACAAATTAGTTTTCTCAGTTGCACAGATGGCCCTTACAAACTCCTCTTGGTTTTGTTTTCCTTCTGCATGCTTTCAGGTTGATGATACCATCAAAGTACTCCTGTACTAGTCAATGAAAAGATTTAGATTTGAGTTTCAGTATCAATTAAAGAAAAGTTCAGACACCATTTCTCTTGGATGGTGGCAGCTTAGAAATTTTTCTTCAAGAAAACAAGGTTTTCCCATGTGAAAGACCTAGAAATAGGCATGTGCTGGTCAATGTCCTGTTGCTGGTGCAATGGTTAATGATTCAACTGCAGAAACAGATTACCACTGATTAAAGAATCTCTCCTTTGGTTTCTGGTTGCATGGATCACGTAGAATGAGACAAAGTTGCACAAAATCAAAGTAGGGACTTTTTAATTAGTGACAATGTGCCACTGGTGTTGAGATCATTCTTGATGAGTCAGCATAGTTATGCAACAGACGTTTTGCCATTATTTTTAAAAGAGATGCTGGATCAGAATACCAGATTCTGTAGTTTTATTTGCGGCTGGAGTCTACAGAATATGGACAGAGTTCCTACTCCTGTTCCTCTCAAGATGCCAGCCACAGAGACTGGTGAAACGTCAGGAAGAACAACCTTCAGAACACGGCCAAAGAGCCAGAAAAACCCACAACAACCAACCCAATTACTACTCTTTGTTCAAGATTCATAAACACATGTCTGTCCTGCAACACCAGTGTGTCACTCCTGATATCTCACTGTACTAACTGGTAGTATAAAAATGCTAGTAATTACTGTAGTAACATATATTATTAAAGGCAGCATTGGTGGGAGAGATAGTTAAGATGTATTATTAAGCCAGAATTAGTAGCAGATATGATTAAGATATGCTTTAGAATGATAAAAGATTATCTTACCAAATATCTTCACACCTTGTAAGATTTCTAAAACAAAAGTCAAATAATACCATTATTGAAAGTATTCGAGAAGAAACAACAGCCGAAGGGTAATCTCTGTTACTGGAAAAACAAACTCCCTAGCTTCTCTTACAAGATGTTAACACGCCTTAATGCCACTGGCATATGTTGAACAAAGGAAACATGCAGATTCGTTCCATCTCAGCAAAATCAAGACCTGAAGTCCAGTACTGATACTGCTTTTGTGCTGTCTCCTTGCACTACAGGTAAGCATGCATCGTTTCACTCCTATTAGAAAAAATCAGGACACAGAGGCAAATGAGTGTCAATATTTATTTAAACAGAAAACGTCACACCATGCCACCACTGAATCTTTCAAATATAGATAATAACAACCTAGTTTTTGGCTAGAGTGTCAGTGCAAGCGTATGCTGTGTTCCACTATAACAAATCAACAGCAATGCTAGAAAGAGACTTGACATCTACAGAACTAGCACTGCTGAAAAGGGAGAAGGAAAATAGATCTCAGACTGCTCAAAGGCACGCTGGCCTATTTGCCCCTCATCCTCTAGCCTAGGGCAGGATCTGTGTTGAAAACTGCTTCTTTGGTTGCATAGCAGAGCTGGTGCATATATTGTGGTCTGTAACAGGCACAGCTAGGACACCGTGAATCCTTTAAGGCACATATACTGTTGTGGAGTACAGGTCACACTCAGTATGGTAATCAGTCCTCCACTAGATTTTTGTCTGTGTACTTTGTTTTGCCAATGTGACACACTAAGAAACAAATAGCACACTGCCAGAGAGTGACTCCCATCAGCTCAGTAATTCCTGGCTAGACAGGAACTAGCTTTATTTCCTTTTTAGTTCCTACTTTAGAACAGGAACATTACGGAGCTGCAACAGAATTCTCATATGAAAATGATAAAATAGCACTGATAATTTTAGATGTGAAATCAAACCAATGCCACAATGGTCTATTGTTTCTTTTCTCTCTCTCTCTCTTCATATCAGAGCATTGCACAGTTTACAATTTGGGATTGTAAATGATCTATTGAACATTTGGCATTTTTTATTTTTATATTCCCCCCCACTAATACCAAGGACTTCTTTGCATTGAGGCTGAATGTAAGACAAATATTGTATCTCTCAAAAAAAGCATTAGATAGACTCAAGTAACTCTTTCAAAATGTCCTATTTGGGTAAGATGCTCTTTCACCCACCTCCAGATAGAAGAAAGTACATCAGTCTGATCTAATTGTAGAAGAGAATACTGTACAAGGGAATATGATGATGATTGCATCCTCAAAAAAGGGACATGAGGAAGAACTGTTTTGGGAAGTCAAAATATGTTATTAAAATAAGGGACCTTGGGAATCCCACCCGATGATAAATGAATCATATGGATTATGTCTCGCAAACATCACAGCTGTGTCAAAAGTATACATAAAGTACAAAAGCAATTTAGTAAATGTACTGATTTTTTTTAAATGAGAAAAGGGGAAATTCTGTGTCCAACACTTCTTCCTATACAGCTTAGTACCAAGAATACAAGAAATGCTCTGAATTTATATATGGTAATCTATCGCTGGTAAATCCATTGGATGGAGGCATTGTCTTCAAACCAGCACAGCTCATTTTGTCAAGTATTCAATATGAAACAAAAATACACATTTGAGAGAGGGCACAAAGAAAGGGGCTTTCAACCGCTTTGGCATTTATACCAGGTGGAACAGATGGGGCACTAAGAGGGTGTCTTAATTTCAAATTCCACACACTTGTTGGGCCTCAAAAACAGCTGCTGTGAACTCTAGAACTATAGATTCTTTCTTTGAACAGCTGGGAAATTTAGCCAGTTCTCTTTGGTCTGAAGTGTGTACAGTAGGAATACTGTAGATGGAGTAGTTTCCCAAATATCCTTTAAGTTACCTTCTGTATAGATTGGAGTAAATATGGCTAAAACATCTAAGTGAAAGACGTAATTCTTCTGCTTTGGAAGCTTGTGTATCCACTTTCAAAACAAGAACTTTCTTAGGTACTGTCTCCTGTAAACAGAGTGGGATCCTGCCTCTTTGACTTTTGGCTGATGGCAACTTAAAAGAGGATATCAGTTTAACTGACAGTGATTATTTATTTGATTTTCTCCTTTCAATCATTTTCCAATTTCAGTTGCCTGAACGTGAGGTTATTACTGTAAGTGACTCAATGCTACCCTTAAGAAATTGGGAAAGAAATGAAGGATGTGCTGTTATTGGAGACATTTCTATCCTGTGGCTAGCTGGCTTCAAAGTCAGGCTGACAGAATGTATATAGAGAGGGACTGCTGCTGACATGATGTCTGAATAAACCCAGGCTTCAATGTGGGTCTTGGCCTCTCTCTAAATTATCTCCTAAATCCATAGTTTCACATGCTTCCCCGCTTGTATACATGGATGCTGTGAAAATCCTGACCTCCTTGTTCACAAAGGACCTGAAGCCAGGAAAGCTGATCTCTGCATTCGATGTGCTGAGAGATTGGATGAATTTCACCAGACTCAAAAGGCTACAGGCTAAAGCGGCATGAGTCAGTTCCCAGAAGGCACCAGGAGTCAGAATCCAAGTCAGGTTTTGCATCTGCTTCCATCTCTTCTTTGGTGGTTTGTGTAGCTTTGGAATGAGCCTCCAACTGTCCGGACGAAAACAACAACAACAAAACCCCACTTGCAACTAAGTAAAACTACAGGTGATGTCTTACAACATAACGAATTCTAACAAGAAAATGTCTAGTTTAACCACATTTGTTCTATATTCTGTGTTACACAGGTTACAAAGAATAAAATGATGAAGTGCAGGGGCCAACATCATCATCTCAGGCTGCTTCCCAGAAATGTTCTCATGTGGAACATGATTCTATTATTAGCTACGTGAGCTCAACTTAAGATCAACATATGGGACATGGAGCTGAAAAGTACAGAAAATCTGTTTTCATAATCAAAATTATATCCTGATTGCCAGCCTCAAGGGTTTTCCAGGCAAAAGAAAAGGAATCAAAATGCACTCATCTCCTTACAATTCAGGCTTGATACAAGCAATTCCAGATTGCCAACTACAGTGTCTGGCCTACAAGTCAATCTAGAAGAACAGGCTTAGTCAAACCTTTCAAGTAAGAAAAAATTCAGCATGACCCATGTTGTCTAAAATTATTAAATCCTCTCTCTCTCTCTCCACACCTCAGTCATGTCACAGTCAATCTTACTTAGCAACTACTACATTTGAAATTACCCTAACCCAAATATTAGCATGAGTTTCAAGGAGCTACAAAAACATTCAAAATTATTCTAATCTGTCAGTTTCTACGAGATGAAACATTACCTGTTGCGTTCCTTGCATCTTTCTTGTGAGACTCTGGAGCTGGGCACTGAGACGGGTGGTTTCTTGCTGAAGCTTCTCTTGGTCAGCCAAGCACTTTGAAAGCAAGCCACTCAGATGCTCCACTTCAGCCTGTAGCAAGCTGCATTTACATGCCGATGATACAGCAGAGGTTTTCTCACTACTACAGGGTTCTGCTGAATTCAAAAGGTGCTGCAATGCAGGATTCACAGACAAGTTTATATATATGCCTACGTATATGCCATGTATGAAATCTTTAAAACTAATGTTTGCCAAAGCTATGAGTGGAAGATGACAATAGATTTACTAAGAACCTGGAAATCAAAGTTCCAAATAATGGAAGCAAAATTCTTGAACAACTAGTGTGCTGAGATACTGGTTCATATAAAAATGACTGTCATACCTCCAGCTGCAAATCTGGAGTATATCCTTCACTGGGAGTCCCAAGATTAAAAGCTTCATACTTTACACATCCTATTCCTATTTCTTGAAATCTTTCTTCTTGTTTTTAAAATGTTGTCTCTTCTAAATCCTACCCTGATTTTTTTTAATGAAAAGTGACAAAAAGTGTCTGTCAGAGATGCTTCTTGGGGTGGCATAGAACACATTGGGCTACAAGTAACTGTTGTCAGTCTCCTATTAGCCAGTAAATCATGTGCATGTTTGCCAACTGTTAACTTTTAAGAAAACTTTCCTATTTACTTACTTAACATCAATTTTGAGGTTAGTTTAAATTATTTGCTCAGCTTTGTAAACTCTCACTGCTTAATTTCAGTATATTAACAGGTCTTAATCTTCTCCCCCTAGGTGAATATTTCTTATACCAGTCATTTACACACTCAATTTCCACCTCTAGTTCAAACTATCATGGAGAATTCCATACGTTGTTATAAATTTACATTACCCAGGACCCTGCATTGGTCTTGTTAATATCAACAGGTGTGGGTGGAGCCATGTGGAGTCCCTTCAGCTCATCATAAGGAAGAGTTTCCTTGTCAGACTCTGAAGATGCTAAACTCCCAAGACAGGGGTTTTCAGGCATGGGAATAAACTCTGCACTCTCCAGCTCCTAATCAAAGAAAGAGAAATGGCAGTTTGTTAGATGTTCTCCATATTCTTACCTATCATACATATTTTTTAAAATTTATTTTTTATTTTTAAAAACTAGGGATAAGGTAAGGAGTACAAAGCTAGAGGGGGATATGGGGGGAAAAGGGGGAAGGAGAACACAAAATGTACTGTCATCCAATCAGTTTGTTCATGTTGCGATATCAAGTCGACTTTTTCCCATTCTACAATTTGATTGCCCTCCAGGTTTCAACTTACAATTACATCTTAGTTTAATTCTATGTTATTCAAGCACTATCTGGTGACTCAAGCCATTTATATAATAAATCCCATCATTCAGTTGCCTTTTGTATTGGACAGTCTTTTAACACTTCTGATAGAATATCCATTTCTGCCGCTTCCCATATCTTCTCAGTGAGTTCCTCTTGTTTTGGTATGTCCAATTTTTTCCAGTTCTTAGCATACAGAATTCTGGCTGCAGTGACTATATATATAACTACCGTAGATAGTTCTTTGTCTTATCTATATTATCTGGTATAATGCTCAGTAAAAACAATTCTGGGGTTAGTGGA